GGGACACGAACTGTGCTCCTTGCAGCACAGCCAGCGGCGCTCGGCTCCCACCCCCTCCCTTCAGGGTGCTGCGCAGGGCTGGCATCACACCCTGATGGAGCTGGGAGCATCCTCTCTCCTCCACCACCCACATCCATCCTTCCGCCCGCCTTCAGACTCCCTCTGGCAGGTGACACCAAGGGGAGCCAAGGCAGGGACACCCCCGCTGAGCACCCACAGCACTAGCCTCCTCGATAGACACCATACTGCCCGTCTCCCGAGGTACCCCCAGCGCATCCCTCCCCAAAGCCGCAGCAGAGGTTGAGGCACCTGCTACCAAGGTCTGACTCTACACAGATGCTTCAAACAGCTCCCTGCATGTCCCTAAGCGGCCGGCTGGACTGGGAGAATGGCTTAAAAACACACGTATGTATCCCAGAGCCTCCGATCCGACAGTCTGGAATGCCTCAGCCCTCGCTGCCACCCACCGCCTGGCTTCTCACGACCGCGCGCGGCACCCTCTGCTCATGGGAGAAACCACAGAGCAAAACAAGCTGCTGCCAAAACAACAAGGAGAGGAAGAGGAATGTCTGCCGGCGACTCAGCTTTGATCGCCCCGGCGCTGGGCTGGATGCTGCTGGCTGCGGAAGCAAGTCGAAAAAAATCCAAGGGCCAGGCTTGGATTTGATAAGAAAAACGATAGGGAGCATGGGATCTCACTTGGACCAGCCCCGTCCGTGATGGCCTGGAGCTGTGTTGCTCCTCCGCCGGTGGACAAGAGGCTCAGCAACACAGCAAGCACTACACGGCAGAGATGGAAAACGCTGGGCATCCCGGGAAGCACTCAGCGGGCCCTGGGCATGCTCGCCAGCACCGCAGGCCACAAAACACAGCGGGTGCCAGCAGCAAAGCACCAGCAGCTGCAGCGGGGCCGCGGGCCAGCAGTGCCCCCTCCCAGGCTGCTGGGACAGGCCAGGATGAGAGATGAGCCCCTCCTCGTCTCCAGTGGCACCGGGAGCCTGTTGGGCACCGGAGCCTTTGGGGCAGGGGTCCAGCCCAGCCCAGCCGGAACTGACACCGCTCGCTCCTCGATCCCAGCAAAGCACAGAAGTGAATTTTACAGGGCCCTGCTCACTCGGATCCCTCCTTAAAATCACCCTGGCTTTTCCATAAGAGGAAATGTTTCTTTTCTGGGTCGCTGCTGAGCTTTTTGAAAAGCGATTTGATGGCCTGTGAAGGGAACATGGCCTGAGGGGAAGAGAGCGCAATGTTTGGAAGCGGGGGAGATGAACCCCTGCTCTGTCCCAGGCGGGGAACATGTGTTTTCTCCTCCCTGGGGTTTGCTTTACCCCGCTGCTCCCTGCTTGCAGCCCCCCAGCCACACGCCAACCCTGCTCTGAGCCCTGCCAACAGAGGGAGGTGCTGGGTCGGTGGCTCCCGGGATGCAGAGCAGCATCCATACCCGCCGCAGACGCACCGGGGGCAAAGCAAGCCCTGTATCCTCATGGAAGCAGCTTTCTGTGGGATTTTCAACTTTAGAACACAACTTAGCAATGATGAGACCCATTTCCCGCCCATCCCCCGTCAAACTTGGATCACAGCAACAGATAAACTCATCCCAAAACCCAACCACTTCCATCACTCCCTGTCCTGCCAGGAAGACGCTGTAGGGCCCCGCTGGGATGGGTGATGCCCAGCCTGGATCCCAACTCCCCCTCCTGAGGGGTATTCACAGGGTGCCTGTGCCACCCTGGAGGGATGCGGCTGCATGTCCCTGCCTGCCAGTGCCCGTCCCTGCTCCGATCCCGCAAGTCTCCTGCTGCCAGCGGCCTGCGAGGCTGCGCTGGGACACAGCGGCCAAGCAGCCATCCCCCTGCAGCAATACATCCATCGATTCTTTTCCCAGATATGGCCACATCATTCTCCTTTAATCACCCTCAAAACTGCAGCCGGGATGTCAGGAATGCGAGTTTCCATTGTGTTTGCCCAATCACGCTGCCCGGAAGGGTGGGAGGGCTGCGGGAAGGCTCCCGCATCCTCCACAGGGCGTGATGCACCTTACGGGGCATACCTGGAGGAGTGTGTTTGGGAGCGATGGGAACCCAGGCTGACAGCAGGCGCCAACAGAGGGTTCCAGGATCGGTGTCGGCTCAAACATCGCCGTGTCTCACCCCTGCACGGGCACCCCAGGGCTCAGCACCAGCTGTGACAGGGCAGCAGTGGCCCCGGGGTAGACAGCCCTTCTGCCAGCCCCACTGCACGCCCCGTACCGACTGTCTCAGCACCCCAGAGAGGGCAGCTGCATGTTCCCACTCCGAGGCATGGAGGCAAAGGCGGATCCTGGCAGAAAGCATTTAGCAAAGGACAGGACAGGCTGCAGACCCTGGGCCTTGGGAAGTGTCCAAGCTACACTGAGCTGTAGGAAAAGCACAAGAGACGGGCGTTTTCCCAGAAACAACCACTTTTCTTGACGGAAACCAGTTTCATTGCAAGCTGTATACTTCCTGAGCAGGACCCGCTGCCTACAAACACACTCCAGCACAACCCTCCGTGCTCACGGGAAGCCCGCTGCTTCCGAGGAGGATGGGTTTGGCCCGCTTTTGAGGATTCTGGGGGCTAGCTGGTTTAGACTGGATTTTTTGGGGGGCTACAAGACGTAGATTTAAAGTGCAAGAGCCCATGCCGATGGGTTGTCAGGATGGGGGACAGGACAGCAGCAGGGGGGCAGGACAGCGAGCAGAGCCACCTCGCAGCAACATTCCACCTGCAGAAGACAGACCCGCTCCGCAGAGCTTCGGCACTGCCTAAAGCACAGCGCTCGACCAGCCCAGGCCGAAACGCTGCAGAATAATTCCCTGGTATCTGTGGGAGCGAAGTTTACCAGCCGCATCCAGCTTCTGTACGATGCGCTGCGTTACTGAACCAGGATTTCACGGCAAGTACTTCCCTGCGTCTGAAAGGGGTGTCAAACCCTTGGTCACTAATGAGGAGCCACTTCCCGGTTGGATGAAAACCGTTGGCTTCCCAGACTTAAATATTCACCTTGTTAGTCCCATTGTTAGCGGGGGCATGTGTACGACTTGGGGTGTATGAGGCTGTTTGCTGAGCTCTGGACCTGATCCTGGAAGCAGGAGAGGAGACGGCAGGGCACGGCTGGATGGTGGCCAGTGCTCTGCTCCTGCATCTGGGATGGGGTGCAGGGACACCCAGAGCCGTGGGCAGGCAGTGCCTGCCGGGCAGCTCAGCCCCTGCCAGCCCCGATGGTGCTTCCATGAAAAAAGAAAACGGGTTGTTTATAAAAATCTGGGCTAGGGCTGTTCATCGGTGTCAGCAGGGGAATGGTTTGCGTTTGGGGAGGGCGGGACAGCCGGCGGGACGGATAATGCGGTTTGGGCTTTGGCCAGGGGCTGGGAAGAGGGTGGGCCTGGGAAAGGCTGTCAGCCCTGGCAGGGGACCAT